GGTGGGAAGGAAGACAGGGAGGGGGGCCTCCAGGACCAGATGGGGGAAGGGTACACAAGACCCCTTCTCGGAAGATGTGTCTATTCCCGGGGCTTCCTGACAGCCAGGACCACCTGCTGCACACTCGGCAAGCCCTGTGCATCCCCTCCGAGGAAGACCCAGGATTCTTTCTTTCTTTCTTTCTTTCTTTGGTACTGGGGATGGAACTCAGGACCTTGCCCTTCTTGCAAGGCAGACATGGCACCGCTCAGCTGAATCCCCAGCCCAAGATGCAGTATTCTTTAACTCAACTTAGACCCTCACTTTTTCTCACCAGGGCCCAGGCTGCCTGTCTGTCCCATAGCTCCTCCCTGACCCTCGGCTACAGCTGGACTTTGTGCCCTCAGATCGAAATCTCTGCGTGGCTCCTCATCATCCACAGTGGAAGTCAGGACAGGCCCAGCCTCCTCAGCTGGTGAGTACAAAGGACATCAGCATCTCACCTCTGTCCAGGTCTGCAGGTCCTGTCCCCAGGCCTCTTGGCTTAGCCCCCGCAGGCCTGACTCACTCCATCCTGATGGGTGCTGACTTCCAGCTTTCGTGGCACAATGCTGCTTGCCAATGCAAAAGATCCTCAGTGTGAAAGCCAGACGGGAGCAGAGCTGGTCCAAGTAAACCCTGGAGCTCCTGGACCTGCCCTGATGGGTCCTTCTCCAGCTATCCCTCCCCACAGCTCCTTAGGGCTCTCCCAGTCCCCGGGTTTCTCCTTGTGGCGGCAGTCATGACACTGGACCGAGTGGTCTCTCCCCACCACTTGAAAGACCTCCGAGATCTGCCTTTGCAACCCAGGACCTGGCTGTGCTGGCTCTCGGTGAACATTTGCTGAGTGCCCCAAGCAGTGGGGAGGAGACAGTCTGCGAGGGTGGTCAGTGATGAAGGGCACCAGCTCCAAGTGAAGGAGCGGCAGTCAGAGGTGCCAAGGGGTAATCCCGGCATCTGGAGGGGTTGGGGCTCAAAGAAGGAATGGGGGGACCGTGTGAGGGGCAGGACTACAAGAAGAAAGTGCTCAGTAAGGGAATTCTCAGTGCCAGGAATAGGGAGAGAATGAGGCTCAGCACGAGGGCCTGGAGGCAGCGAAGGAGCCTGCGTGGGGAGAGAAGGCCAGGGTGGGGTCGCCCGGAATGCAGGGACAGGGGCTTCCTAACTCACACCCAGACCAAAGTTCTTTGCTCAGCTTTCTCTCTCTCCCTTGGGGAGTCCAGCGCTCAGACATTTCTGAGTCCAAAGCTGGCGTGAAGCTGAGGGTCAGAGTTGTGGATTCTGGGCCCTCCAGATGTGCGGTTGATGGATGTCACGCAGCAAGCCCGGCTCTGACCCCCCCAGTCTGCCCAGTGCCCCTCCACGTGGGAGAGGACGCAGCAGTCACACACAGTGTCTCAGTCTCCTCGCTCGCCTGCTTCCCCTAAGACCCTCAGGTGAAACAGTTCACACAGTGGCTATTTAACCACAGCTTGCATTCTGAAGTCTGCACAGAGCTTGACATTAAAAATACACATCTAGGGCTGCGGATTTAGCTCAGGGGCACCACACCTGCCTGGCAAGTGAAAATTCCTAAGTTTGGTCCCTAGTACTGGAAAAAAAATGCATATCTAGCACTGGGGATATAGCTCAGGGGTAAAGATTGCTTGCCTAGCATGTGTGACGGTTGGATCCCCAATACACTTCAGACAAACAAACAAATATAGGTCTGTTATCTACAGACAATGGAGCTCAATTTTAATGGAGCTGAAAGCAACACCTTGAGCAAAGGCAGGGTGGTCTGAGTGCACCCTTTCATCCTCAAAGTTCTTCCTTGCCTGCTGGACTCATAGTGGACCGGAGTTCCTTTTCTGACACCTATGCGGATTTGAGTTTTCAAGGAAACTACCAATATTTCCCTATATTTATGAAATTTGCTAACATATTGATATTTAAGCACACAAACTAAACAGGAATTTTTCCAACTTTTTAACTTTGCACACTTGACAATTAATATTTGACATATGAATTACATGCACATATAAAACAGACTCAACAATGAAACAGATTCAATTGCCCATGAGACAAACTTCATACAGGTGCAAACTCCTGATCTATAAACAAATTTCTGTTGTTTATAAGCTGTCCAGCTTTTGATATGGTTTTACAGCAGCCTAAAGACACAAAGAGCCTAGGTTCATGTAATCTGGGTTTCTGTTGGCCTACATTGATATGCACGCAGATGAAATCATTGAGAGGTGAAAAGAATTTTGACCCTCAGGTGTGGGTAACGTTTTCCAAGTCATCATTTTCATTTAAGGCAAGAGTGGAGGCATGAAGACATAGTCAGGAAAGGAAAAGGGGTCCAGATCCAGTGTGGTGGTAAGGAAGGTGGGTGCCCAGTGGGACTTACCCATCCACAGCACCCTGGGGGACTTATTACTTTTCTTATTGTTGACACAAAATACTCAACACCCAAAGTTAAAAGACGAAAGGGTATTTTGGCTCACAGTTTGTAGAGGTTTCAGTCCATGCCATCCTGCCTGAATATAAAGCAGAAAGGTGTCACAGAGGAGAAACAGTTCATGGCAGTCAGAAGTCAGAAAGCAGCAAGCACAGAAGGAGCAAGTAATAAATGACAGCAGCAAGCCCTCTCTCTGTCCCTTACATCCTATCCAGGCTAGCACTCAGGGTGGGACAACCTTAATCCGAGCATCACAACATGAAACAATCTCAGCACCACGTAATGGTCCCAGCATCAAGCACCTTAGATCCCATCACCTCTGGAAAGCCACACGTATGACCACATGAGACTTTGGAGAGACATTTAGATACAAGCCATACACTAGGGAATGTAATGACTGTTTAACAACAGGGAAAACAAGGCAGGCTTGGTAATGAACACTATGCAGGGCATTCTTCATTATTGAGGGTTGAATGGATGGATGGATACAGATGCATGGATCTGTGGGTTTGTGGGTGTGGGTCACCACAGGCAGACTCCACCTGTGCTCATCCTCTCATGTAAGTCTTACTGTACTCCTGTAAAATTACATTTCAGCTTGATGACTGTGGTTTTAAGATTATTAAGTAACAAAGATTGCCTGCCAGCAGACACGGTCTTACCTCCCTGAGCCTCTGTCCCTTCTGGACCCTCACTGTGCCCTTGTCTGTCTTTCCCTCTCCCTCTGTCCTTGACTGTCACCATCAAGGGTGGTTACTCACACCACTTGGTAATGACAACAGTTTATGTGCTGCTGAAGCTGCCTGGATGTGGCAGTGTAAAGAGCGAGTAATCGAGATTGCTGCATAGATTGGCCACTGCTGAAAGTAGGCCCTTACGGATACCAGTTTAGGTTGTTTTTTTTTTTGGTACCAAGGATCGAACTTGGGACCTTGCACTTGCGAAGCAGGCTGTGGAACAACAGAGCTAAATCCCTGGCTCCCTCCCCACCTTTTTTTTTTTTCTTTTTTACTTTAACAGAGGCCTTATGGCCCTTGGTTTAGGTGGACGTGAGGCCCTACACATGTGAATCACCTGTACAAGTCATACGAGTGTGGCTGCTTTCTCTCTCACTCACTCTCTTGCTCTCATTTCAGAAATAGAGGAGCCTGATTATAAACCACTGAACAACATCTGGCCAAGATACTGGCCACAACAGAGGAGAAGGGAGGAAAGTGAAGGCCTTGCTGCTGATTAAATCCCACCACCTCTCATTATTAAGCCTTAGATTTTCAGTTTCACCAGCTGTCTGAGCTCCTCTCCCAGGGATGAGTTTGGCCTTGGCCATGCAATGCCTTTCAGCCTTCCCAGGGGACATCAGTCTGAAGGGAAAAGTAAAGCAGGAGGGAGCTGGGTGAGACTTCTGGGGGACTTCCCACTTGTGGATGTGACAGCACCCATTATGGACTGTCAGGAATGGGGAATGGCTAGGACTCTTTGGGACTCCAGAGGCCCCGCCCCAACCCTAACAGGGGTCACTGTCACACAGTGGCCACTCCTCTTGTGACAAATATGTCCCATCACTGAAGATATTAAGCAAAAGGTAAGGAAAACCTACTATGTGTATGGGTGGGGGTCTGATAGGTTAATCTTGGACTATATCAAGCTCTGTGGGTTTTTTGGTTTTGTTTTTTTTTTCCAGTACCAGGGATTGAACTCAGGACCTTTTGCTTGCCAGGCAGGTGTAGTGCCACTGAACTACATCCCTGGCCCCTATCAAGATGGGGTTCACAGGCTTCAGGAGACCTGGGTTCCAACTCTGACTGTGTGTCCTTAGACTCATTTCTTCTTCGTGTTTACCACGACGGAATTCGCTTTTCTTTCGAAGCTGAGATGAGACCTCTTTGTTCCAATGGTACCTTCCTGTGGAAGCTCACTACCAAAAGCAGGAAAAACAAAGCCACCCAGGTGTGCAGGTGGTAGGACCAGACCCCAGGATGTCTGCCTCTCCATCGTCCCCACCCTGGCTCCCCAAATCTCCCGGGCCTATTTAAAAGCCACAGGACAGCAGAGTCTTGTACCCTCCCTGCTCCACCATTCCCGCCCAGGATCTGGACAGGGGAAGCCCTGTTGCCCATCACCCACAGGTGCAGAGCATCTGGCCCAGAGGGACCACACTTCAGCCATCAAAGAAGCCCTGAAGCCAGGAGCCAGCAAGAAGGGAACCAGCCATGCGAGGGTAGGAACCCCTCCCCAAAGCATTGCCATGGATACCACACAAAGCTGATGATACATCAAGGGCATAATCCACAAACTGGGATTAATTCAGAAAGCAGTCCACAATGGGGAAAACAGACAAAGTGAGTAACCTACAAAGTAGATAATCAACCCACCAACTGAATACCCCAGTCAGAATAATCTACTGCCAAACCTACAAAGCTGTATTAGACAAAGCAGAAATCTGCAATGGTCATCATGGAATAACACTACCCAAGGCCCCCCCAGGCGGCCCTCTCCCTCTTCCAAGGCCAGTGGTGGTCCAGGCCACTCCATTACTTACTCCGCCTCTGCCTCTTCCCCTTGACCCCTCGGCTGCTGGCGGTGAGGTGTGTGCAGCTCAGAACCAGGGCCACCACACACAGCCCAAGCCGCATAGTCTCTCCAGCTCCAGGCCCCTGGCAGCAGGGGTGGTCTCTGGGGGGCAGTGGGTGGTGCAGGGCTCTTGCTGATGCCTCTGAGGTTGGGTCAGCAGCAGGTGATTCAAGCCTGAGCCGTAGCCCAAATCCACCAAAAGCTCAACTGTGGATAGAGAGGGTGTGGGGAGCCCAGGGCTCCATCAGCCCAGACTGAGGGCCTCAAAGGCAGAGCTCCTCAAAGCCTTCTCCGAGTGTCACATGGGAGGTCTTGGTTACTGCAATGGGCTACCCCAAAAACCAATCTGTAAGGGAAGAGAGAGAAGGGTTAATTCCATGGTAGCCTGGGGCCCCAACCTATGTTTCCGATCTTCCCCTAGGTTTCTGTATTCAGGAGACTATGCGAGCTCAGAATGTCCAGGCACTACAAGTAACCCACCTGGTAGCCCTGCAGAAGACATCAGTTCCTGCTCCTCACTCGCAGAATTCCTTACCCTGACACTGGAGCCAGCTGGAATATGGTGAACACTCAAAGCAGACTGTGGATCCCTGGTGATTTATTAATAATGGGAGCCAGCTGGCGCCACCAATATCGAGTAATATTGCCAGCTCTCGTTGGAAGTCCTTCTTTAAGTCTACCCTACAAACCTCATGCTGCAGTAATGTTCTATCATTTGAAGAGGAGCCCTCTTGGCTACTTGACCTGTCAGCCTTCTCTTCCCAGTGCTGAGTCACCTATGTGTCCTCCACCTGTCCTGGAGCTAGAACATTGGCCCCCCAGCAAGCTGCCAGACTCCGCATGGCCCTCTGGGCTTGGCGGAAGAAAAGGAAGTAAGCCCCCCGCCCCAGGCACAGAAACTCTGACACAGCAGGTCTGGCCGGCCTGGCCTTTGTGAGGGGATAAAAGAGGCAGCAGTGCCCGCCCTGGCCAGAGACACAGAGAATGGCGATAATCCCTAGCCCCACAAGAGCCAGGGCTCTGGACCCAGGGCTGGGGTGATGGGGGCAGGGGGTTGCCCCTCCCTGGCAAGATGTTTCTGGGAAGCTGGTTGCTGAGCTTCAGACCACCTGGAGCCAGGACAGGAGCTCTGCTTCAAACTCGGTGTCACACCCTTGCCCTCTGGCGCTCCTGGTCCACCCAGGACAGAGGCCAGCCCGGGCTTATCCCAGGGCACGTGAAAACTGGGAGTATTTGGCCTGTCCCACTGGGGCTCTCTGTGGGTTTCAGGAAGCGCTGCCTGCCTGCCTGCGGGTTAGTGGGCTTTTAACAGGTCGTTCAGCCTCTCTGAACCTCAGCCTCTTCTCTAGCCAATGGGCATGAACATGACTATTTCTCAGGCTTGCTGGGTGCGCCGGCGGAGCCTTGGCTTCCCAGTGAGAAGTCTGAGATGCTAGCCTGAGCTGCGCTTCCCCTCCCACCCTACTCCTCTCCTCTCTCAGCTCCCTAGTGCCCAGTTTACCCCCTCGCCTCTCCAAGAGGCCCCGGTGGAGTCCACCTGCATAGGAGATAAATCATTATCCCCCCAGGGAGTTCTGTGCCTCCCTCCTGGCCTCTCCCACTGGCTTTGAAGGCCAGACACACTCAAGTGGTTAAGCTGCCTGTGAGAAGTGTTTACACGAGGCTGATGGGTCCCACCTGGTGCTACGGCTGGAGCCAGCAGAGATGCCCCCAGCCACCCCGAAATGCCCTGTCAGCTGCCAACCCCTGCGTGCCCCTCCAATACTCCTTGCACGACCCGCCAAAGCCTTCCCACCCTCCTAGTCTCCACTGCACTCTTCCACCCTCCCCAGATTATGGCTGTTCAGTTGGGTTTACCAGACTGGGGTCTTCAACCCCAAGCACACTGTCTCAGAGGCTGAGTGTAAGCGTGGTAGTCACAGGCACATCTTCAGTCAGGCCGCCTGACTTCAAATGCTGGCTCTGCTACTTGCCAGCTGTGTTACCCTGGGTTAGTTGCTTAGCTGTTCTGAGCCTGCTTCCTTACCTGCAAGAGAGTTGATTTTTTTTTGGTACTGGGGATCGAACTCGGGACCTTTCATTTGTGAGGCAGGTGGCAGAACCACCGAGCTAAATCCCCAGACTGAGGGTTGATTCTTTATACCTTAAATGAGGTATTATGTGAAACTGTTCAGACTGATTCTCATATACAGTATAGTGATGTCTCAGTAATATATCTGTGGTATTTGTTTTATGACCAAGGCTTTCTGTCTACATTCCTATGGCCACTTAAAAAGCAACATCCTATTTCCCATATTGTGTGGATACCAACTTAATACTGAGCACTGGCCTGCAATTTCCATATTTGCATTTATTTTTGTGGTTGATTGCCTTGGCACAAAAGCAATCATTCAAAGTGATAGGACTTCCACCCAACTGCAGCATTAACCCTCCAACTGACGGAATGAGGTGGTGGACCTCTGAGAGATCTACTCCATCGGTGCTTACATTTCACAAACACTGCATCAGACAAACACAGCATTAAACCTGGGTCTGTGAGATTTTGGTGTCACTGTGTGACCAGTTTAGGGTCCTTGGGGCAGAGACGGTCTCTGTACTCTTTGTGCCTATGGGCATGATGCCTGGGACATGACGGGTTAGTGCTCAGCAATGCAAGCTCCCATATCCCCAGGTTCCAGCTTTCAGCCTGGTCCTGCCTGGCCCACTTCCGCTTGACTCACTAGGGAACCATAATCCCAGCTGGCACACTGAGAGGAGGATCCAGATGCAAATTTCACCGGAGCAAGTGACACTGGTTTCCCTCACTTCTGGGATGACACAGTTTCAAGCACTTTTTTGGGTGCAAAAAGAATCAGCCTTGCAAAGGAACGCCCATCCCAGCTTACAAGTGACAATATGAGCCAACCGAAGCTGGAATGGGCAGATGGCAGGACAAATGCCCCATCTAAGGTGAGCACATCTACTCTCTCCGGCTGACTGCTGACAGACAGAAACCACGGCTTAATATTCCCGCGCACCGCCATCCACGGTGCCTTTACCACCTGCCCTGTGCTAGACCCTTATTTACTGTGCCACAGCCGAGGAAGGAGTAGAAGTGAGGTCCTGGGAGAATAAGGCTCTCAGTGGTAACAGGCCAGGAGGGTGGGCAAGGCAGGGAGCTGAGTGTGGATCACCACCTGCCTTGAAGAGGGGCCCTTCGCAGAGGGAGAAAGGGATGGGGTCAGAGGCAGAGCTGGCAAGAGAAGTAGTGTGAGAAGGAAGCCCGCACACTGGGAAGGGGGCCACAGCTGAGGTGGAGCTGAGGGGCGGCGGACTCAGCCCTAACAGGGCCGGAGAATCTTTAACCTTCTTGCCTCCGTCCCGGGCCGGATACAGACCCCAAAATGCAAACCATCCAAATAATTTCTCGTCAGCGCTCCCCAGGACCCGTGGAACATGCTGCCTGCGGGGCCAGAAGAATCGCAGGGGCCGGGGCGGGACCACGTGCGTGGCCGCCCGACCCCTCCGGATCGAGCCGGCCAGGTGCCCCCTAACCTGGGGTGCGCAGAAAGGCTCCTTCGTGCCCCGCCCTCACCGCCCCAGTGCTCACATTCCTGTCCCTCCCCACGTCCCGGAGCAGCCAGGACAGGTGCCCAGGGTGGACGGCTCCGAGGTCCCTCTAGGTTCGCCCACCCAGGTCCAAGAGGGCTCCCCAAGGCCGGTCTCTCAGGAACCCCTCCCTGCACGCGGCGGCACCCGACTCCCTCCGTGCTCTTCTGGGGAAGCCGCGCGAACTGGTCCCACCGCCCCCGACCCAGCACCCGCTCCTG